CTCTAAGAAACAAGATCGCCAACCACCTGAACACCCAACAATTGCACAACCCAGGGCATCATGGGGTTAGAGCAGGTCGCTCCTGCCTGTCACAACTACTGGACCACTATGACAAACTCTTGGATGCTTTGGAGGATAAACAAAATGCAGGTGTAGTATATAGACTTTGCGAAAGCCTTCGACAAGTGCGATTATGATTTAATAGCACAGGAAAAGTGGGTAGGTGGACCTATTACCTCCTAACAAATATAACACAAAGAGTAACAGTAAACAAGAGTAAAGTCAAGGGCAGCTACAGTGAAAAGCTCTCTTCCACAAGGTACAGTACTCGCTCCCATCCTTTTCTGCATCCTCATATCTGACATAGAGAGAGATGCAAGTCACAGCACTGTGTCCTCCTTTGCTGACGATACCAGAATTTGCATGACAGTGTCATCCATTGAGGACACTGTAAATCTCCAAGCAGACATTAACCGTCTTTAGCTGGGTCTCAGAAAACAATACGAGGTTCACTGAAGACAAATTTCTATTACTCCACTATGGAAACTCGAAGAAATAAAAACTGGATCAAAGCATAAAAGTAATGTGTGAAGAAGGTGCGAGTGATAATGTCGGAGAATCTCACTTTCAAAGATTACAACAATGTATCTACCAAATCTGCTAGGAAAATGATAATGGATAATGAGATAATGAGAATGGATAATGGAATGGACAATGGATAATTAGAACCTTCAAAACTAGAGATGTCAAGCCAATGATAATTCTTTTCAGATGGCTTGTTCTCTCTGGGCTGGAGTATTGCTGCAATCTAACGGCCCCTTACAAAGCAGGCGAAACTGTAGACTTTGAGAATATACCTGGAATGTACCTGTAAAGGGTTTCGGAGATCAACGCCCCTGCATCCCAGTCTGTGGCCAGGCCTCATGGTGAATCAGGGCCTGATCAACCAGGCTGTTACTGTTGGCTGCATGCAAAACAACGTACGAGCCACAGCCTGGCTGGTTAGGTGCCTGTCCAGCGACTTTTTGAAGAAAGCCAGAGGTCTATTGGTAATCCCCCATATGTATGCTGGGAGGCAGTTGAACAGTCTTGGGCCCCTGACACTTACTATGTTGTCTCTTAACATGCTAGTGGCACCCCTGCTATTCATTGAGGGGATGTTGCATCGTCTGCCGAGTCTTTTGCTTTCATAAGGAGTGATATTCGTGAGCAAGTTTGGTACTATTCCTCTAGAATTTTCCAAGTGTATATAATCATGTATCTCTCCCGCCTGCGTTTTCTGGTGAGTACGGGTTGTGGAACTTCAACCATTCCCAGTAATTAAGGTGTTTTATCACAGTTAGGTGTGCCATGAAGGTTCTCATTACATTTTCTAAGTCAACAATTTCACCTGCCTTGAAAAGTGCTGTGTGGAAATTTATTTGGTCCCTAAAGTTCCACAGGACAGATCCGGCATGGCCGTGATGGAACGGCTGAGCTGGATGGCCCTTATACCCCACCCAAACACAAACAGTATTCTCTCTATTTTGGCGTGGATTGTTGGTAGGCATTTATTTAATTTATAGATTTACTCTTCAGGGAAGGAGTAGGTAGTTTTACTGTTAGTACACTAATATTAGGATCATTGAGGCAACTGTAGATAATAATAATGTAGACCTAAGACCTTAACATAGGTAGTAATAGGCCGATAATGTAGGCAAACACTAGGATAAGTTAGCTAGGGAGAACTGGCAGCCCTAGTTTGAACGAAGAGACGAGGGTCTGGAAGAGAGACCAGCTCGTTCTTCTTAAGACAGACACCAACTGGACAAGACGTGCCGTGATCAGCAGACGGCGCCCCCCACGTGTCTTCACATTTGAGACCTGGGGAAATCTGGTAGAGGAACATCGATGTACCATAGATGACCTCCGTCAGGCCCATACAGTAAGACAAGACCTCCACTATATCTCGTAGATTTCTGGCCAGTGTCTGGGGAGATTGTGAGTGAGTTTTATCTGTGGGCCCGGTGTGCAACAGGCAGAGCATGCCCAGTAAGTACCAGTGTCTCAAGGCAGTCTGGAAGCTAGTGTCCGTGTCTGCATAGTTATACTAGGGGATACTTACCCTCTTGGATATAAGAATTTCTGAGGTGCAGGCAGGTCACTAATAACAACTGAATATTGCAGGAATTAAGGCTCCCGGTTGCACGTGGTTTCTGAGGGGAAGTCCAGAGGGGGCTAAGGCTAAGCTTAGGGAAGTTGAAGATCAGGATGTATGCTGCAACACCAAGTAAGTTAGTCCTCTATACGTGCATGCAGGCGAGTTTCTTGCAACATCAATCATTTGTGAAAATCTGTACTATAAGCCACTTGTGAGGCTGAGGTACCCACCTCAGAGCTCGGTGTCAACAGAGTTTGCCAGGGTAGGTGACTCACTTGGAGGCAGCCCACACAAATTTTCACATGCTGTTAGTGTGCAGCAATATTCCAGCCTAGGTAGAACGGGTGACTTGAAGAGTGTCGTGGGTTTTGCTTCCCTAGTTTTGAAGGTTCTCGTTATTCATCCTGTCATTTTTCTAGCAGATGCGATTTATATAATGTGAGTCTTTGAAAATGAGATCCTCTGACATTATCACTCCCAGGTCTTTTACATTAGTATTCGCTCTATTGTGTGGTTGGAATTTGTTTTATGCTCCGATATGGTTTTAATTTCCTCACATTTTCCATATCAGAGTAATTGAAATTTCTCTTCAATGAACTTCATATTGCCTATTTAAAGATTTGGTTGATGTCCGCCTGGAATCTTGAAGTGTCTTCAGTGGAGGACACTCTCATGCAAATTTGGGTGTCATCTGCAAAGGAAGACATGATGCTGTGGCTTACATCCCTGTCTATGTCAGATATGAGGATGAGGAAGAGGATGGGAGCGAGTACTGTGCCTTGTGAAACAGAGCTTTTCACCGTAGCTGCCTCGGACTTTACTCTGTATACTACTGTGTAAACAGTGGGAAATAATAGATCCATCTACCAACTTTTCCTGTTATTCCTTTATGACGCATTTTGTGCGCTATTACACCATGGTCACACTTGTCAAAGGCTTTTGCAAAGTCTGTGTATATTGCATCTGCATCTATTACCTTGTCATAGTAGTCCAGTAGCTGGGACAGGCAGGGGTGACCTGCTCTAAACCCATGTTGCCCTGGGTTGTGTAACTGATGGGTACCTAGGTGAGTAGCGTTCTTGCTTCTTAGATTATTATTAGAATCAAAATGAATTATAATAAAAGAGAATTGCTTCTTAGAACCCTTTCAAATATTATTATATGGGATGTTAGTGCTATCGGTCTGTAGTTCTTTGCTATTGCTGCCACCTTTGTGGAGTGGGGCTATGTCTGTTGTTTATAGCAACTGTGGGACGACCCCCGTGTCCATGCTCCTTCTCCATAAGATGTTAAAAGCATATGATAGGGGCTTCTTGCAGTTCTTGATGAACACGGAGTTCCATGTAAATATAATGGAGCACTTCATTTACTGAGAACAGTTGAAGTGTCTTGACCCCAGTGGAGATGAGTCACTAACTTTTTTGGGTTATCCCAGGTTCTCTACACATATGCTGCTATGTATTTATTAATTTGAACATGATACAGTGAAGTACAAAGGAATACAGTTATTACAGTGCAACATGCCAAAGCCCCTTGTATGCAGAGCATTACGGGCAGGCTTAAAATTAACTTAAGATTAACTAAGCAATGATATAGTCAGTGGTAAAAACATTATTGTAAATAGATAACAATTTACTACAAATGAGTATTACAAAGACAGGTCATATGGTCATTTACTGTGTTGCTGAGCATTCAGTAGAATGGAGTATTCTGTTAGGTAATATAATTAAAAAATAAAGTTTGATTGATTCACAGGTTAGACATTTATGAGATACAATAATGAGAAACATTTATGAGATACAATTTATGAGATACAATCATTCAGTATTTATTTACTTGTGGGTAAGTAAGTGATTTTTGAGAAGAGACTTGAATCTATAAAGAGTGTTTCTTTTATATTCACAGGTAATGAATTCCAGATTTTAGGACCTTTCATGTGCATTGAGTTTTTGCATAGCGTGAGATGGACACGAGGAACATCAAAGAGTGATCTGTGCCTTGTGTTATGGTCATGTGTTCTGTTGAGATTGGTAAGGAGACATTTGAGGGGAGGGTTTATATCAGAGTTAAGTGTTCTATGTATGTAGTAGGTGCAGTATGATAATCTATGTAACTGTATTTGTGTATATCTGAATAAACTTGTACTCCTTGGAACGCAGATTAAAAAGGTACTTCTTAATATACAGTGGACCCCCGGTTAACGATATTTTTTCACTCCAGAATTATGTTCAGGTGCCAGTACTGACCGAATTTGTTCCCATAAGGAATATTGTGAAGTAGATTAGTCCATTTCAGACCCCCAAACATACACGCACAAACGCACTTACATAAATACACTTACATAATTGGTCGCATTCGGAGGTGATCGTTATGCTGGGGTCCACTGTACACTTGAAAAATCCTAGAGGGATTAGTCTCAAATCTGCACAAGGAAATCACTCCCTGCGAGAGTATAGGACTCGGCAGGGGGGTGTAACATCCCCCAGTGAAAAGCAGGGATATCATGAGTGCACTAAGAGACAACACAATAAGTGTCAGGGGACCATGACTGTTCAACTGCCTCCCAGCGTAGATAAAGAGGATTACTAATAGATCACTGGTTGTCTTCGAGGAGGTGAACTGGCACCCAAAGTCAGTACCTGACCAACTAGGCTGTGGTTCGTACGTTGGTTTACATGCGGCCAGCAGTCGATCAGATCCTGATCCACCGCGAGGCCTGGTCACGGACTGGGCAGCGGAGGCGTTACCCCTCGAAACAGTCTCAAGGTATATTTTAAAATTCAAATTAAGTCATATTGCTTGTTGGTTGGTGGGCTTTATAGATACTTAATAGCTAAATATTTATGTCTTCATTTTACAGGTTGATCTGTTGTCGCTTGATGTAGAGGGAGCAGAGAAGATGATCCTTGACACAATACCCTGGAAATCTGTTGACATCTCCATCATGTTGATAGAACATCATGGTGATGTTAAAGGCAAAGATCTGAAGTTCGTTGACAGCGTCCAGGATAAAGGATATGATTTATTCGATTATCAGATAGACAAAGATAACATTGGTGACTATATATTTGTTAAGAAAGGTTACCTGTAATGTGACTAAGATTATTAGGGTTATAGGGACCGATTATTATAGTCAAGGGGAGGTGCTAAACCAGCAGAGGTCTGGGCGAAGCTCAGACCTCTGCAAACACAAATATCATCAAAGATTTGTTAAGTTATACCATGAATTAAGGAAAGACCCTGGACTTCACCTTACGAAACAAAGCAAATGCGGTAGTAATTATGGACAAGGTAGATTATAGTGGAAAATTTAACATATTAGAAAACGGAGGAACATATTTCAGTGCTGCTGTGTTTTCCTTTAAGGAACCTTCATTGATTTTAATTTCTTTAACTTTTAATTTTTTTTTTTTATTATCACACGGCCGATTCCCACCAAGGCAGGGTGGCCCGAAAAAGAAAAACTTTCACCATCATTCACTCCATCACTGTCTTGCCAGAAGGGTGCTTTACACTACAGTTTTTAAACTGCAACATTAACACCCCTCCTTCAGAGTGCAGGCACTGTACTTCCCATCTCCAGGACTCAAGTCCGGCCTGCCGGTTTCCCTGAACCCCTTCAGAAATGTTACTTTGCTCACACTCCAACAGCACGTCAAGTATTAAAAACCATTCGTCTCCATTCACTCCTATCAAACACGCTCACGCACGCCTGCTGGACGTCCAAGCCCCTCGCACACAAAACCTCCTTTACCCCTCCCTCCAACCTTTCCTAGGCCGACCCCTACCCCGCCTTCCTTCCACTACAGACTGATACACTCTTGAAGTCATTCTGTTTCGCTCCATTCTCTCTACATGTCCGAACCACCTCAACAACCCTTCCTCAGCCCTCTGGACAACAGTTTGGGTAATCCCGCACCTCCTCCTAACTTCCAAACTACGAATTCTCTGCATTATATTCACACCACACATTGCCCTCAGACATGACATCTCCACTGCCTCCAGCCTTCTCCTCGCTGCAACATTCATCACCCATGCTTCACACCCATATAAGAGTGTTGGTAAAACTATACTCTCATACATTCCCCTCTTTGCCTCCAAGGACAAAGTTCTTTGTCTCCACAGACTCCTAAGTGCACCACTCACCCTTTTCCCCTCATCAATTCTATGATTCACCTCATCCTTCATACACCCATCCGCTGACACGTCCACTCCCAAATATCTGAATACATTCACCTCCTCCATACTCTCTCCCTCCAATCTGATATCCAATCTTTCATCACCTAATATTTTTGTTATCCTCATAACCTTACTCTTTCCTGTATTCACTTTTAATTTTCTTCTTTTGCACACCCTACCAAATTCATCCACCAATCTCTGCAACTTCTCTTCAGAATCTCCCAAGAGCAACTGTGACAACTCCCACTTTATGTGTGATTCTTTATCTTTTAACTCCACGCCTCTTGTCAAGACCCTCGCATTTACCTCTCTTACAACCCCATCTATAAATATATTAAACAACCACGGTGACATCACACATCCCTGTCTAAGGCCTACTTTTACTGGGAAATAATTTCCCTCTTTCCTATGTACTCTAACTTGAGCCTCACTATCCTCGTAAAAACTCTTCACTGCTTTCAGTAACCTACCTCCTACACTATACACCTGCAACATCTGCCACATTGCTCTGGTGGCCTGGTGGTTAACGCTCTCGCTTCACACGGCGAGGGCCTGGGTTCGATTCCCAGCCAGAGTAGAAACATTGGACGTGTTTCTTTCCACCTGTTGTCTATGTTCCCCATCAGTAAAATGGGTACCTGGGTATTAGTCGACTGGTGTGGGTCGCATCCTGGGACATTGACCTAAGGAGGCCTGGTCACAGACCGGGCCGCGGGGGCGTTGACCCCCGGAACTCTCTCCAGATAAACTCCAGATATCCACCCTGTCATACGCCTTTCCCAAATCCATAAATGCCACAAAGACCTCTTTAGCCTTATCTAAATACTGTTCACTTATATGTTTCACTGTAAACACCTGGTCCACACACCCCCTATCTTTCCTAAAGCCTCCTTCTTCATCTGCTATCCTATTCTCAGTCTTACTTTTAATTCTTTCAATAATAACTCTACCATACACTTTACCAGGTATACTCAACAGACTTAACCCCCTATAATTTCTGCACTCTCTTTTGTCCCCTTTGCCTTCATACAAAGGAACTATGCATGCTCTCTGCCAATCCCTAGGTACCTTACCCTCTTCCATACATTTATTAAATAATTGCACCAACCACTCCAAAACTATATCCCCACCTGCTTTTAACATTTCTATCTTTATCCCATCAATCCCGGGTGCCTTATCCCCTTTCATTTTACCTACTGCCTCACGAACTTCCCCCACACTCACAACTGGCTCTTCCTCACTCCTACAAGATGTTATTCCTCCCTGCCCTATACATGAAATCACAGCTTCCCTATCTTCATCAACATTTAACAATTCCTCAAAATATTCCCTCCATCTTCCCAATACCTCTAACTCTCCATTTAAATAACTCTCCTCTCCTACTTTTAACTGACAAATCCATTTGTTCTCTAGGCTTCCTTAACTTGTTAATCTCACTCCAAAACTTTTTCTTATTTTCAACAAAATTTGTTGATAACATCTCACCCACTCTCTCATTTGCTCTCTTTTTACATTACTTCACCACTCTCTTAACCTCTCTCTTTTTCTCCATATACTCTTCCCTCCTTGCATCACTTCTACTTTGTAAAAACTTCTCATATGCTAACTTTTTCTCCCTTACTACTCTCTTTACATCATCATTCCACCAATTGCTCCTCTTCCCTCCCGCACCCACTTTCCTGTAACCACAAACTTCTGCTGAACACTCTAACACAGTGGCCCGGTGGCCTGGTGGATACAGCTCCCGCTTCACACACGGAGGGCCCGGGTTCGATTCCCGGCAGGTGGAAATTCTGACAGGTTTCTTTACACCTATTGTCCTGTTCACCTAGCAGCAAATAGGTACCTGGGTGTTAGTCGACTTGTGTGGGTGGCATCCTGGGGGACAAGATTAAGGACCCCAATGGAAATAAGTTACAGTCCGCGATGACACACTGACTTTCTTGGGTTATCCTGGGTGGCTAACCCTCCGGGGTTAAAAATCCGAACGAAATCTTATCTTATCTTATCTAACACTACATTTTTAAACCTACCCCATACCTCTTCGACCCCATTGCTTATGCTCTCATTAGCCCATCTATCCTCCAACAGCTGTTTATATCTTTCCCTAACTGCCTCCTCTTTTAGTTTATAAACCTTCACCTCTCTCTTCCCTGATGCTTCTATTCTCCTTGTATCCCATCTACCTTTTACTCTCAGTGTAGCTACAACTAGAAAGTGGTCTGATATATCTGTGGCCCCTCTATAAACATGTACATCCTGAAGTCTACTCAACAGTCTTTTATCTACCAATACATAATCCAACAAACTACTGTCATTTCGCCCTACATCATATCTTGTATACTTATTTATCCTCTTTTTCTTAAAATATGTATTATCTATAACTAAACCCCTTTCTATACAAAGTTCAATCAAAGGGCTCCCATTATCATTTACACCTGGCACCCCAAACTTACCTACCACACCCTCTCTAAAAGTTTCTCCTACTTTAGCATTCAGGTCCCCTACCACAATTACTCTCTCACTTGGTTCAAAGGCTCCTATACATTCACTTAACATCTCCCAAAATCTCTCTCTCCCCTCTGCATTCCTCTCTTCTCCAGGTGCATACACGCTTATTATGACCCACTTCTCGCATCCAACCTTTACTTTAATCCACATAATTCTTGCATTTACACATTCATATTCTCTTTTCTCCTTCCATAACTGATCATTCAACATTAACTTTTAATGTGACAATTTTATTAACCAAATTAATTTCTCTGAAACAACTGATAATGTCTCAGAAATAACTTCAGTGATTGATTTCATTGGGTCACTCCAGGTTATCTTTACATAATGTAGTTTTGTGTACATGTAACTCTGCGCTATCAATACCACTGTAAAAAAAGTGAGTTACGAATCCAAAATTTAAATCAAATGTTCCTAATTACTTACAAGAATGTTAGTTACTTACTTTTTGACTTATACGCCCATTGGTCTTAGAAAAAGAAAGTCTGGATATTTTCTTTTTAGCATTTATAGGTCCCATTTTACCATTTTTAAATGGAACCCTTAAATTTTAAATACTGATTCTCATGAGATAGATTCTGAGTCTCACCCATCAGACTGGCCAAAACATTCTTAACCATGTATTAGCCTCATGTCATAACCTGGGGTTGATAATCTCTACTGATAAAACAAAGATACTCAACAGGCGTCCTCCTCGACAGAGAGGCACAGTTCGTCAGATCCAATTGCATGATGGGTCTCTTCTAGAATATGTAAGCAGATACAGGTATCTAGGCTTTGAGGTCCCACAACTTGGACCTGTTGTAATGAGACTTTGTCGTTAATACAAAGAATGCCTGAGAGCACTTAGAGTTGTGGCAAGTTTTCATCCCAGGTATGGTGCTAATGTTAAAATTGTGAAAAATTATGTATCTTGCTTATATTAGATCATTGGTTGATTATGCTGTGCCACTACTTGCTCTTGTGTCTGACTGGAAACTTGGAGGGCTGGAAAAACTGCAGAACAAAGCAATGAGGATCATTTTAGGATGCCCTCGTACTGCCAAAATTTTAAATGTGCGGAACTTGATATTCCTAACTTCAGAGATCGTGTTACTGAAAGAAATATCCTCATTGGGGTTAATATGCTCAGGCAAGCCCATTCAAATCCCTGCACAGAAGCCCTACAAACTTTCCTCAGCACTGGTGAACACCCCTCCAGATGAACTGCAAAAAATAGAACCGACCTCTGCATGAACCAGCTACATGATCTATGTCAAGTAGAGCAACAGCGGTACTTCGCCGCTCCATGGGATATTACCCCATTCCAAACTTGCATCCCTATATTTACCTCCAAAAATACTTCTTAAATCACAACCAAAGCTTCGCCTTGAAGCCAAATATGATGCCTCAAGCTGTGTTT